GAAGCTCTTGCCGCACTCGGCGCAGCCGAAGGGCTTCCCGGGCACGTGGATCTTCTCGTGCATGCGCAGGTAGCTCTTGGAGGCGAAGCGCTTGCCGCACTCGGCGCAGCCGAAGGGCGTCTCGCCGGTGTGGCCGCGCCGGTGCACCTCGAGCGCGCCCTTGGACGCGAAGCTCTTGGGGCACTCGCTGCAGGCGAAGGGCCGCTCGGCGCGGTGCTGCACCAGGTGCACGCGCAGGTAGCTCTTGGAGGCGAAGCGCTTGCCGCACTCGGCGCAGCCGAAGGGCCGCTCGCCCGTGTGGCCCAGCGCGTGCACGCGCAGCTCCACCTTCCTGCGGAAGCTCTTGCCGCACTGGGCGCAGGCGAAGGGCCGCTCGTCCGTGTGCACCAGCGCGTGCGCCCGCAGCTCCACGCGCCGGCGGAAGCTCTTGCCGCACTGGGCGCACAGGAAGGGCCGCTCGCCCGTGTGCAGCCGCGCGTGCACCCGCAGGTCGCCCTTGCAGACGAAGCGCTTGCCGCACTGGGCGCAGGCGAAGGGCCGCTCGCCCGTGTGCACGCGCCGGTGCACCTTGAGGTAGCCGCGCTGCGTGAAGCGCTTGCCGCAGTCGGGGCAGCCGTAGGGCCGCTCGCCCGTGTGCACGCGCAGGTGCGTCTTCAGGTCGCCCCTGTGCGAGAAGCGCTTGCCGCACTCGCCGCAGGGGAAGGGCCGCGGCGGCCCCGCGGCGCCCGGTTCCAGCGGACGGGGCGCTGCGGGTGCTGCGCGGCGCCGGATGCCGTCCCCGTCCTCCCCGGCGCTCTCCTCCTCCGAGCACGCGGCCCCGGCCTCCACTGCGGGGAGGGAAGGGCGCACGGGCTCAGTGCACGCCCCGGGACCCCCGATGCTGCAGCGGCGCCTTGGCACCTTGGCACCAACCCAGGCCAATACGCAGGGCGACCACATGGGGGTCTCCCCATGGCCCCTCCGGTGGGCTAAAACCCCCTTGTTTGTGGAAAAATGCAAGGGAGCGAGCGCGGCTGCTCGCCCTCCTGGTGCGGGCACCCAGCGGGCAGGCAGGGCACCCCGCGCCCCTTACCCAGCGAGGTGACGAGCTCGTAGATGTCCCTCGTCACGTGCCAGTAGAGCTCCTTCTGCCAGTGCCGCAGGCGCCGCCACTCCTCGGGGCAGAACGTGACCGCCACATCCTCGAACGTCACCGGCATCTGCGCGCAGGGAGAGCCGCGGGCAGCAGCGCGGGGCACCCCGAGGTGCCAGGGGGTCCCAGCACCCCCAGTGCTGCCCGCTTGGTGCCCTAATGGTGTCCTAATGGTGCCCTGGAGGGACAACCTCCCCACGTGCTCCCCGGCTCCCCGCATTTCTGCCCCCCAGATTGAACCTCGCCGAGTCCTCCTGCGGCTCACGGCCGGGGGCCGATGTGCCAACGCCGGGCACGGGCCGCGCTCCCACGAACGTCCCCACAGCGTCGCCAGGCTCCCTGTGCGGCCGGTTTTCCGCAATCCTGGCACTCCCAGACCCACACGCGGGGCGCAGACCCCCCCGCCAGGCAGCCCCTTGCGCCCTGGCCGAGCGCGGGCGGTCGGTGCCCGGTAATGGTTGTGGGCCGCGTTCCGGCGCCGGAACACGGGCGGTGGCATTGTCACCTCGCCGCGGGCCCGGGGTGTGCGAGGCCGGGGCCCCGCGGCCGCCAGGGCTGCATCCCGCCGGGAGCGGAGCCGGGGCCAAGCAGCTCCAGGAACAGGGGTACCGGGAACGGGGGCACCGCATTCCACTGTGCCATGGAGCCCCCATCGTGCCGCGTTCGGAGGGGCAGGAGGTGACGGGGCAGTGAAGGGGATGGCGGACGATGCCGCCCGGCTCCGCGGCACCGCGACGGGCTCTCCCTCCAGCCCGGGGCCCACGGGACCCGCTGGCACCAGCCGGGCACACGCGACCCCTTCCCGCCGTGCCCGCGGGCTCCACGTGCGCCCGAGCCCGGCACTGCTCTGACGGCAGCGGGGGTCTCAGCCGGGCAGGGGGCTGCGCTCATCTCTCCATCGGGGGGGGCAGAAAGGCTCACGGGGGGGCACCCCCAGGGAGGCCGGGCAGCTCTGGC